CTCTGCATCCGTCCCTGCAAATGATGTCATTTTTTTTGTCTCAGAATTTTCTCTTTTGATTCATAAAACCCTAGGAGTGCAACTATTTTCAAATTAGTATTATGCAACTATGGAAAAGGAATGCAAGACAGTATTTCATATTTAAACTCAAAAGATAGAGCAACTTGCAAATATGTCATCAAAATGCAAAATCATGCTTGACTTCACAGGTTGTCTGCTTCCTGCATACTCATCCATTTGCAATATCACTTGACTGTCACTCCATAACTGACCTCTTAATTCATTTAATTTTCAACAAGAGAACCTTTTCCTCATTCAGTACTCCCTAGAATTACTTCTGTTAATTGTTTGAATAAATTAAGCTGACAATGCATATATTTCTCACTATATGTGAGACTGTGTTCAGATCAATTTAAAGGTACCTGATCACATGCAATAAAACATGTCTCTTCCCGTGTCCAGATAACCCATCTGGAATACTATTCAAGGTTCAATAAGCATGCAATTGCGTGTGTTCCTTAAACTGTATCCAGCAAAACTGCATGGATATCCTATAGGGCATGTTATTTTAACCATGCCTGGCAAAACACAAGTGGGATATTTTCCACGAATAATTCAGAATACTTTGAAGAAACATAAAACAGAAGCGTACCTATAGCAACACCAGGAGATACAGCTATGTATTCATCCTATGATGCTGAGAATTTTTTCAAACATACTCAAACAGTCAGTGTCATCAATGCATTCATCAAATTCTATCAATTATATACATTTTTTTTCAAAATCCTAATTCATTAACTCACCATCATCATTAATAATAGTCACTTGGTTAATGGATTTTTTCCCAATGACTGCATTTTGGTCTGCGTCAAGAGAAAGTCTCACAAAGAAAGTTTCATCTGGTTCCCACTCATTATCATCAATGATTTCTATGTCAATGTATTTGGACGTCTCATTGGGTTCAAATACCATGGAAGTTTTGACGGGGATGTAATCTTTAGTAGCCTCTGCTGTGCCATCAATGGTTTCAACCCTGAAAAAGTGTAGAAAAAAAAGCTAAAAAAAAAAAAAAAAACATCAACTGATATACAAACTTACATGGCTACTAAAAGCAAAATAAAGAAAAATGCTTTACTCATAAGAAATTGCAAGGAAAACTAATGATTTCTGATGAAAAATTAGAGGGAAATTGAGATAGTCTAGGCTTGAATTTCAATTTATATAAAGGCACATTAGAAAACCTTCTTTTCAGCACCCCCAAGTGCACTACCGTCATGAATGACAAACAGTTGATCAACAGGCACCCATTTCCTTAGACTTCCTTAGGTAAAAATTAGAGGCTAGAGAGCAGACAAGTCCCTGCCATTTAACAAGATTGTCTGCGAGAATATGAAACTCCAGGTAAAATTAGGAAAAAACCGGCAGAAAATTGTATTTTCTTAGAACTACAGAGTATTTAAATGCCAGAAGAATTGATCATGTATATGTTTGCACCTGATGGCAACCCTCTGGCAAGAATCTCACAGATGATAATTTGGCTATATATTATTCAGTGTACAAAGAAGGATTTACAGTTTTTTTTTTTATCTTATGACATCTCTTTAAATATTTATAAAATCAATAACTTAAAACAATACTTTGTCCTATGTACATGAAAACTATTTTTGCATTGACATCACAGGATTAAGCTCCTGAATATAAAATACTCATTAAACCATTCCATTCATTTCAGTCACAAAATAATTATTAATGAAAATATTTAGAAATCATAACACTTGTCAATTTTATCTATACTCTGACTTCATGAATGAGAATAGGCATTACTTCTCATTGTATTATTGGTATATATATATATATGCAATGGAGAACGTTAATTAGTTTGTAAGATCAATACCTGGGGAAGGGCATCAACTGACAGCCCTAATGTTGTTGGTTACCAGACAATTCAGAATGCCGAGATGGTTAATCAATTATTCACAAGACTGCCAACGAACCCAGCCACTCATTGGAAAGAAATTACTATGGTTATGATACTTCCAAATTTAATTCTTAATCACCACAGTTTCTGGCATACAATTCCACACTCTTCTTACCACCACTTGCCACTTCTGATGAATTTTTAACATTGTGTTATTTTTCTTCTGAATTACATAGGTGAACTGCAGTATAGAAGACAATACAGGAATCTACGGGTTCCTCAAGCACCTATGAACACATGTTATTAGCATTCCATTTTCTATCATAGCATTTCCTGACTATTAAATGACAAAAAAGAAGTAAGCCCCCAGGGAGAGTAATTATTTTTTCAACATTTTTCATTTGAGAATACTTTGTAAGGGAAAAAAACTATTTCTTGCAGGCATAGCACCAGAGATGGGAATTATTTGTTTTTGTTTACTGACATGAAACGTATAATCTCTTTGCACCTGAGACAATCATTTGACTGAATAAGCTACACTTCTATCTCATTAGGGAATGAAGGCAATGGCCAGGAAAATAATCCTCATAGGGTCAAAAGCATCTCTCTATCTCTCTCAGCTGTGGTTGCACTATTTCATCCCTTTCTACAAAGAATTATTTTTTTGTGTTTAACTAGTTAGAGTTGCACTGACATGAATGCCAGAGAAATAGCTGATCATTTGGCTGGCGTATCTTTTAGTTGACATGGCAAATAATACACAGAGGATAAGAAGCATACCTCTTATCTGTTCACATGTTTTATCTTATTCCTATCTAAAATGAAAAAAAAAATCCACATATCTCATTTTAATTATACACCCTATATAAGTGCCTTAGCTATTTGAACAAAACTAATTTTCACAAAAATCATTATAGCATTATATCATTATAGCAACTATGCTCAGCAGTGTCTCATAACTAATTACTGTAAATAAACACATGTACAGTCATATATTTCATGATAAGCACTGTTTACCTCATCCAATCTACTTTCCAAAATTATAACATGGGCAGATTTAAATCACTGGGTGACTGGGCAGGAGTGCAGATAACAACTCAAGATCTTTTTCCATGGGAATCATCCAAGATAGCCCAAAAATCAAGTGGTATTCAGAACAGAATGAGGTCAGAAATAATGGCAGTCTATAAATTAGAATATATATTTTTCTAGTTTTTTTTTTTCTTTAGTTCTGCAGAATTACATTTTAAGCAAGACAGTACATATTTGCCATGCTTTGCGTGTGACTTTTGAATAGCTCTCTGAGGCTGTATTCCCAGAGCTTTTAGATCGATCTATCCCCGCGGGGAGTCTCACTACATTACTGTCAAATAATCCGGCTTAAATGTCCGTCCCGCCTACTACAAGCTGTAAGGGGGTAATTAACTTTCGTGTCCTCTCGGCTGACAGCTATTTAGCGTGAATGCCCAGGGAGTTAGGTCGATCTAAAGTAGATCGATCTAATCTCTGGAAATGGGGTCTGAGATGACATTCTAGTGCATGGAGCTTCAGCCTTATTGCTAAAAGGTTAGCTCTACCTTATGCAGATTTGGGTATCTTTCCTAGTCTTTTTGATGCCACGCAGCGCAGATAGCCTAGATTTAGATTATCTTGGATAATTCTAATTACAGTGTGCCAGTACCCATGTGCTAATTCCATTAGTGACTTGTTTTAAAAACAACCAACAAGAGATACTAGCTGAGACAACAACTGATCTATACAGTTAAAATTCTCTGCATGTGTCCGTGTGGGATAATACATACCACATGACCAGTACTGGCACATGCTTGGCAACAACCACACTCAGGTAAATGTTTGGAAAGCACCTGTTTAAACTTGGACCAGTATACTCCAGAAAAAAATCCAACACATGGCTTAACAGCTGAATAAGTTGAATTATTAGTAAGACACTACTACTTGTCATAAATCCAAATTTACAAACAAATAAATAAATAAATAAATAAATAAATAAATAAATAAATAAATAAATCCTCCTTTTATGTAATGCAAAAGATAATGCAATTAAATTTTCAAGGATATAAGGTTGTATTCCCTAACAAATAATGCTCATTCTCCCTAGACGTATAAATGCTTGCCTTATGCACATATGGTCCCTAAATGAAGAAAAAAATTCTGCATAAAATATTGGTGCCACGGGATATTTTTTCAGACAAATGAATTCTGCAAAAAAATACACAGATACACATTAAAAGATATGAATATTCCATCTGTGAGTGCTTACTAGAAACATATCCCATTACCTGATTAATAGTAACTTCCACCATGATGATCCATTGATAACAAAATCTATCAACACCAAATTGTGATCCCTAATTTCCTTTTTCAATAAACTACTGCAAAAAGATAATGTCTTGGAGTAATTTTCTCTAGAGAACTAATTGATCTTTATTCTACAACTGTCTTTGAAGTTTTCACCAAATACTTGAATGAATTTCACTAATATCAATGCATTCATTTTTTTTTATGTTGGGTCCCATTGTTATCCAGCATTGCTTAAAATTAAACACACATCTACAGAGTGTCTATACAACAAAGCCCAAAATGGATTTGATTATACTCTGCTAGATCCGTTTCCCTCTCAAACACGCAAGAGAAGATGTGATCAATGCTAGAGAAAAAACTCCACAAATAGCAACTGCATCCTATTAAACAAGACTGATAAATTGCATTCTGATGAATTTTGGGGATCAAATTTATAGCCAAATGCAGCAGCCAAAAGAACTACTGCACAGACATGCACATCAACTGTTCTAAGTGCGTTACAAAAGTACAAAAATACTATTTGCAACATTCATTTAAGTATCAAATTGCAATAAACAGACATACTAGTATGACTATCTATGACTGGTTATCTCATGCATCCCAGACCAAGATTACCAGAGATGAGAGAACAGTAAAACATTTTTCAGGATAAAGCATACTATCCCATCACTTTGTAGCCATAGTAATAATCAATAATATACATTAGAATGGTAAAAATAACCATCAAAAAGTGTGGGTGGATTCAAAAGCCCAATTCAGGAATCATCTTTTCTGAAGAAGCAGACATGTAGCCCACATTTACGTTTAGCTGACATGAAAGGACTGGATCAATAAATGTTCCTGTTTCTAAAATGATTGCTATCTCAATTCCACAATATTGTAATAGTACATGTAGTGGTTGTTGTTTTTTTTTTTTTTTTTTTTTTTGCATACTAGCAAGCATTTTAGACATCATTTTCACCTTATGCTTATCCCTGGTCTATACCAGTGACAGATCTAGTATTTAGCAAAGGAGGAGAGAAGGGGCACATGGATTAATTTTTTTTACCTCGTTTCGTTTTGTATTTTTGTATGACATAAAAAATGGAGTATAGAAATAAGATGGGAAAGAGTCTTCTCTTGCAATTAGTAAAAATACCGTCATAAAATTATCAAGGCATTAAATCTACATGAAGCACAATTTATATGAGAACTCACTCGGGTTCAGTAATATCTAATGTAGCAAAAATAGTATATATTGAATGAAATATCAGGAATGGGGACTAAACAAGTTATTCCACTGTAATAATCTCAATACATGTGGCTAATTGAGCAAAGACTCATAGACTTTCTCTTAAGCTGGATCAATCAAATAGTTCACTCAGTGGATACATGAGATATTTTCATCAAAGGGCATAACTGCATATCAACTGGAATTTTTTCTACATTTGATTTTTACTCTCTGCGTGCATGTGTGTACGCATGTGCAGATCTGCGAAAATGAATAATTAAGTACTTAAAAGTTAAGCATAAAAATCTTGAAAACATCACAGTGAAGAGACAAAGAGCTGTAAACATAAAATATACTTAGGAAAGGGGCGAGACAATACTAAGTATGGCAATAAAAACAGGCCATAAACCCTCATGGCTCCCTCCCATGACAATGGACAAGTGCACAGTCAAATCAATGTTAATTTTTAATCCACACTTGTGTGATCTACCATATCCACGCAATAATTAGAGAGGTGCAGGTCAAATTTAAAATAAAGGAAAATAAGACAGTTTCTGCAACATTAAATATAATTTTATGTTCATGTCCTTACATGGTTTGAATGGCCATGATAATAATGGAATGATAGTACACTAGCTAAGGCACATTCTACTCAAGATTTAAGTAAAAAATTTCCTCAAATCATATCTAGTATGCACTTTTTAGAGAAAATTGAGTTGTACTGAATATAAATTTCATAATATATACTGGCGCATATGGAGTAAATGTTTTGAAAACAATGCAGCACAGTTAGACTGTTAATGGAAATGAACGTGCATTTTGGGCTCAAGAAACTAATCATAATTTCTATTATAAAAGGAAATGGAAGGCTAAGTAATCCCATTTGAACAACCCTGACCCGATCGCAGACTGGAACCATCAAGGCACATCTCTGCAGAGATGGATTTTTTTTTTTTGCACTAAGTAGAAGTCTACCGATTGGTCGATCTATCACTTGAAACAATGAGAGTTCCTGCCTTGTCAGAAGTTTCTAAGTAGTTCTATGACAAAGTATGACAAACAAGTGGCATTGTTCACCTCAACATGAGTACATCCCATGTGGGCCTGATATTGTTTCTATGTTGTCAAGTAGAATCCATGAACAGTTTCAGAGATAAAAAAATTCTTTCAGGGATAAGGCTCTAATCTTTTGGATCAAAATGAAGCAAGATTTTCCATTTTCATTATTTGGTCTGTTATAAGTATGTTTTGTTCAAAACATTTAAACTTCAAAAAACCATTAAACAAGGAAGCTTAAAATTATATCAACATATGCATGGTTTACTTACAATGAAAGATAAGAATAAAAAAATGACCTGCAAAAAAAAAACGGCTGCATTTGGTGCTTGAATGAATAAGTTGAAACTGTACATTAAGGGAGAAGAATTGAGGGTGTGATCAAAATCTGTCTAGTTAAGTGGAGTATTTTGCACCAACACTGGCCCTCTATGCCATGTTTTTATAATCTTGAACAGAATTTTCTTAAACATAACCACAGTGAATGACAAAGAATAATAGACAATTGGTTGCCAAAATATTTGTAAAAGAAACAATGTCATTACAACTACAAATATCACGTAATACAGCCACAGAATACTTTCCTTTTCAATATGCAATCTATCTCTTATATTTGCTGCATTTCACTACAGGCCTATTCATCAAAATAATTGAGTATCTGTCAGCATGGAATAGGCACTCCCTGAACCCTTGTATCAAATACCACATTAATTTGCATCAGAAATTGATGAAAACCATTAATTTCTCAGGCACGGAATAATCAACCATTCTTCTGATGTTAACTGTTGCATTGTTTAGACCATACATCAACTGTATGTCCCTAATAAACATGCATGTGATGAAGAACTCAAACACAAAATGTGCATGTTGTCAATGTAATTCAGTTCCAAAGTAATGACCCTAAATAAATGCTATGTATGGCTTTTTTTGTATCTTCCAGACTCAATGTCCCGTCTCATGGACGCACACATATCAAAACAACCAATGGGGAAACATTATGAAAGAGCAGCAGAATTAGTCTGCTGGAAGTAAATTAGTAAAGCAGCTTAATGGTTTCATTCTCTGGTGGTGGGAATCAATGTGACGGCTGCTATTATCATTATTCCAGTAACAGGTCTCTGGTAATGGTGTGTACTGGGACCACTGAGAGTGATTATATAACTGATTTCAGCTGAAAATTAGAAAGTGCACCCAGAAATCAATATATTCACAGGCTGATCCATGTCTCCTTTTTTCCAAAGAGAAGATTCAGCTCTCATTTCTTATAAAAAAAGG